GGACAGAAAAGATTAATAGTCCATAAAGCAGCATTGCAGATTGAGAAATGCAGTCTAACAAAAGTCCTCTGATTTCCAGGACATTGTGGAATAGAATCAACTAGCTAGTAAGGAACGGGTTTTGTCACCTTTCCTAATGCTGAATAGCACTTTATAGCATGAGGGTGACTTCATGGGACTAGAGAGAGGTAGTTAGTTATGTTAGTCTGAAGCTAGTCAAAATACAGGGCAGTGTCGCACCTTATAGACTAACTCGTTCAGAGAGGCACAAACTTTCACAGGTTACAGCCTTCTTCATCAGATAGCAGATAGCATCTGGCAAAGTAGGCTGTAGCCTATAAAAGCTCATGCTCTCTGAACAAGTTAGTCTATATAAGGTGCCACACTTCCCTGCTTTCATAGGACTGTTAATACAATAAGGAACTGCCAATATGAATGTTAGGATTGGTCCCCAAGTGAAAAATGAGGCCTCTCAGGTGGACGGGTAAAGTTAACTTATTGTACATGTGGCAACGTGGCAGGCCAATAAAGTTCCATCCAGGGAAGCAACAAGCTTCCAGAATAAATGCCCAAAATCACACATAGGAGAAAACAAGACAGCCACAACACAGAGGAAATGTTTCTGTTACCTGTGATACAAATCTGTGTTACAGTGTCTCATAACCTCACCACAGCTTATCAACTGCCATTCTGGCCTGGCTTACTGAACTGCATGCAACAGCAGCTAGAGCAGTGATTCTCAACCAGGTTGCCACTGCCACAAGACCCTTTTAAGGGTGTCGCATGATATTAACACAGTTAGGTGTGCAAGATAAACCTGGAGATTGCAAATAAGAATCCATAATGTCAAAAAAAATGACCTGTCATGCTGTTTCTGTGTTCTTTGCAACAGAACAATTGCTCTTTTATTTTTTTTGTAGTAAAAAAATAAGTTCAATTAAGAGATGGCATTTTTCAAGGTGAGGTTTGAGTCTCTAAAAAGGTTGAGAACCACTGAACTTGAGGACCATTGACTTGTCAATGTCATTAGATCTCCCAGAGAAGGCAAGAGACCAGATTAATTTGGGGCAAACTTCATAAAGCCTTCTACCAGGAGCACTTGGACAGGTCCTAAATATCGTTTGGTTTCCCCACCCTGGCAAGAGCCAGGTGACATAGAGGAATTCTTTCCCACTGTTCTGTTAAGTTCAGCAGCAAACTGCACCTGCCAAATCCTACACCCCAGCTCACAGGTTTACGGAAAACTGCAGCCAGAAGACTTATCAATATATAAGCAATAGAAGCAATAGAAGACTTATCATCAAAATACAATAATAAGGACTATGGGGTGAGGCCACAGCTCTGCTGATGCAGCCTCCAGCTTGGGTAGGAGGGTGCATGTAGGTTGGAGATGCTACTAAAAAATTAGCACCCTACTATGCAAAACCATATCATTTAGCCAAGTGACATAGTACAACCCTCTGACATCATACATGTTGTGGCAAAATGATCCTCTTCCCCTGTGATTCACTTAGTTGGTTATTTTGCCTTAATACCCAGAGGACTAAGTGGAATGGAGCCTGCTTCTCTCTGTTACTTCCTTTCCTAGTTCATATGCCTAAGCCAAGACTCTGCCCATTCCCTGGTAGCATGGATGCTGCCTCCTTCCTTCTCAGCCTGCTGCTGGGTTTTCCCCAGCATGGCTTCAGACCTCAGCAGATTTTTTGCCTGTCTCCCATTTGTGTGAGAGGCAGTAAAAAGCTGCATTCAGAGAAAGGCTTTCTCCATTGGAGAGAGAAGCTAATTGTGTCTCACATAAAGACGTGTAATTGGTTTTCATTTCTGCTGAGATAGAAAATGACATGTATAGCATCCCATGCCTTTTGATGCTGAAACCCTGATATGATCTTATTGCTTTGCTTTCAGAAGCTCCCCTGACTTGCAGGCCACACTTGATATGTTTCAGCGTAAGGGGTTGTCAGCTAATAAATATGGGCCCTGGTAGAAAATGTGGGGAGGTACTCTGGGTTAGAACTGGCCCAGGAATCCTTTTCAAATAGTGCTCGTTCCTAATTTAGACCCCATTTTGGCTAGTAAATTGCCTGCAAAGTCATTCTGCAGTCTACAGACATATTTGTTCTTTGTATTTGGAGAGTGCCACAGATATCAAGGTGTATTGTGGAAAGGAGATTGCATATTAATACATGTGCCAAACAATCCTAGGGTGTTCTGGGTTGAAGGAAGATTCAGTAGCGTTAGCTGTGTCCTTCTGCTTTTCTGCTCTTCTTATGCTGACTCAGCCTCCTCTGGGAATATCCAGCATGAGCAGGTCCACAGACTCTGCAGTTGTCAGAGACTGGAGACAAGCTAGTTAGCTTTCTCATTTCTCTCCTTTCTCCCTTCCTGTGACCGCTGAGTAGTAACCACTATTCTCACCAGGGACTAATCCTTTGGGATACCCAGGACCCCATCCTTCCCTTTTTCTCTTTCAGGGAGACAAATGATTCTGGGCCCCTTGTAATTGGGTGCTTTGTGCAGGGGCAGGTGGGAGGGGTTGAGGGCAAACACAATCAAGCAGTGATGCCTAAGGGTAGAGAGGCTCATTTTGAGAATGCAGTCTTCCCAATGAACCTTGAGGGACAAAGAAGAATTCATAATGCCTTCCTCCCTGTGTCTTTCTTTGGTTCAGACCAAAAATAACATTTTAGTGTGGGTATTTTCATTGCAGTGTTCAGCTGTGGGATGTGTCTCTAGCCTGTTTCAGACAGAAACAGGAAGATTTTACCAAGGCTTTAATGCTAAAAATCAGTGCGTCTGGGCCGGAGAAGTTCAAGCAGGTTAACAAACAGGTTTCTTTGGGGGCCCCTTCCAGCCCTGGTAAAATTTAAAGAGGTCTTTGCTAAAACAAATGTCCTGCAGCTTTCAGAAGCTTCTGTGAAGCTCCAAAGCTGTTCATTAGGGCATGTGGTAGAAACTTCATTATTTGGCATATTTAAAACCAAAATGACAGGATATATGATTCATTGCTGGTCACCTCTGTTCCCTGAAATTAATGCTTACATTCCCACTGACTTCAGTGGGACCAGAGTTAAGCTGGAAAGTGCTTTTGAAAAATCCCACCCCAAAGCACAGGGGAATTTAATTAATCCAGCTGTCTCAAGCCAAACCCAAAAATATGACAGTGAAGCTACTCCAGGTGGCACCCTCATCTCCAGTATACCTGACCAGGGCTTTCCTGAGTAGCATCACTTCTGCCTTTCCAGGCTTACCACATCTGAGTGATAAGGTGTATTTGGAAATGTCCTTCTCCAAGAGCACCTGGGGCACTGTGCAGATATACCCTTCAGACTCACTGCTAATGACCTGATCCATCCAGCCCCCCTGCTTGCCCTCAGTCATGGCACTCAAAGAAATATTGACTGTAGAAATGAGGCCTGTGCTACAAAATGTAGACCTGGACTTTAAACCCTAGAATTAACATGTCTTTATGTGTAGACAGGAGCAGGGCACGTTCCCATCTGAAGTACCAATTCATCTCAGTTCTGGTGTATGGACAGATTTTTAAGTTCTCATCACCCACCGAGGGGCTGGATTTGTCAAAAAAGTCAGTATTACCAGCCTTTTTGAAAGAACTGCCTCCAGTTATGAATTGACTTTTCTGTACTATCAGCATCCAGCTTCACAGTCCAAATCTCCTTCTTTCCAGTCAAGTTAATGGATATTTATATACAGGACCCACATTCTGCCCTATGAGATCTCCAGAGTTCAGAAAGCAATCTGTTCATAGCTTATCTTTTTCCCTGTGCTGCAAAGTCAGTACAAGAGAGAACGTAGCGAATGTATTGACAGGAGGCTACAGTGGGAGCAGCGTGTCTGTGCCTGGCACATTCACCTTATGAATAAAACAGACCGATTTCAACATCCTGGATAAAAAAGAACTGGTTTCTCAGATCAGTATTTAAACCAGGCTGGACCTGGCTGTATTAACGTGGAAACAGTGCAGGGTGGGGAAGGGTTGCACTGAGAAACACAGCCCGATTGTGAGAAAAGGGCAGAGCTTGGAGCTGCAGCCTGGCCTCCCTTGTCATGGTTGTGTTGACTCTACCGCCTGGCACAATTCCAGCAGTCCAGTCCTCTGTTGCTGGTTGCCCAGCTTCCCCTCCAGGTTCCCTCTTCACTGCAGAGAGAAGTGCAAACAGTTTTGTGGATGTGCTGCCCTTGGCCTTTTCACTCTGCCTGGGTAAAATCTGCAGTACTGTTTGACTTGGAGCAATGGCACCAATCCCTCTGGAAGCAGCAGTTCTGCTTGGCAAGCACACTTTTAAAAAAGGAAAGAAAAGGAAAAGATGTGGCTTGCTCCTATCTGCTGCCATCAGTGCCACCTTTAGGCATACTCAACAGCTGGTCCTCCTTGGAGCACTAATAGGTTGAGAATGCCGCTCATCCTACACTGACCTGCTGCTCCCCAGGTTTATCAGTCTAACTGAGATGATTGTGGTGTGCTGATACTGTGAAAGCTCTTATTTATAGAATGTGCATCAATATTATTGATGCACATTGACCCTGCAGTTCCCTAAAGATTAGCTCCCCATTCTGCTACGGTCTATCTGAGCCTGTTCAGGGACATAACCCCTGATCCTGCAATACTGGCAGTCTTAGAGAAGGTGGGGTGGAGGGATGCATTAGAATAAGTACTTCTCTTTATCCAGTTGTATGCATGCTTTCGCATTTTTGAAGTTACTGATAGTACTAGATTAATGGCTGGGTACCAGACTGCTGTAGACCAATGTGGCTGCATTGGCTATACCCTTGACTTTAATGGAACTAGGTTGATCTGCATCAGCTGATAATCTGGTCCCAATTTCCAGCCATTCTGGTCTCCTCCCAGAGCTATCAACAACTAGCTGATTTCCTGCAGGCACCCAAGCTGGCTGGTACAGAAAGATGCAAAGATGGAGCTGGTTGAGGCCCCAGCAATCAGTTCTAGGAGGGCATTTGAGAGAGAGCATGGAGCTGTTTGTGTGAGAAGCTGACCAAGAGCTGAGTGAGGGCATTTTGTTTAATGGAGCAGGGGAGATGGGGAAAAGGTTTGGAGTGGGAGTTTGCAGGGAGTGACATAGTCAGGGACTAGTTTGAGTAGGTTTGGATGGCCAGAGAGTCTCTTTCAGTTTTCCAGAACATAATTTTGGGCCACTCCTCTCCCTTCTTTCTGTCCTTTTTCTCTCCTCTTCATAATGCCTGCCACCCCCATCTGTGAGAATCCACCCCACAGCACTGAGAGCATATCCCTCCTTATAACTCTGTGCTCCCCACTCTCAGACTCACTGCCTTAAGCTTTTGGTAATTTGTACTGTCACACTGAATCCTGCCTAGGTTGATTGAGAGTTTGTCTTCTCATCTCTTCCCAACCGATGCCTTTGGTCATCGTCATTGTCGTCTTCTTCGTCGTCTTCTTCTTCTCTTCAGTGCTGTCTTTTCCAAATCCATTACACAGGTGCTGTTTGTTAGAACAATGTGGCAGTTTATTTTTTTTAATTGAACTCTCTCCACCTTTTTATGCAATCCCTTTATTCTTAGTACATCATCTGGGCCTCCCACATTGTCCTACAGTTCTGCAAACCAGAAGTGCTCCTTTGAGAGCTGTGAGAAATGTCAGTATCTCCTACTCACATACCATGATTATAGGCTCCCAGGTTGCTTCCTTCTCTGTATTGCTGCTTTAGGGCTGCATGCTGGCTGCTGCTCTGATTGGGTTGTTTCACCAAGAGGCCAGCTACCTTTTAAAAGCTGTGGGTGAGAACAATCTGGCTGTAGTCTGGTGTGAGCTCAGTGGCACTAGTGGTAAGTCAGTGCCAGGGGGCTTTCCCCACATCCACACTAGGACCAAGGAGCTGGGACCTGTATCCACACCATCACTGCTTTTCTCTGTGTCTTGTTGCCCAACTGCAGCATGATCGCAGCTTCCAGACTACAGGGAGCTGTGCTGGGACCAAGCATCTGCAAACTGCATCTGTGCTGTTGCAGCTTCTCCTCACTCCCCCTTTTCCCTCCTCCCCCCACCGCTGTGGCACAGGCACAGCTGGAAGCTGCCTGGCCCCAATGCAGCTCCCCACCAAGTGGAAGCTGCACACATGTGAAGGGGAGGGTTGGGAGAGGAAAGGAAGCAGTGCAGATGTAGTTTGCAGATGCCTGGCCTCAATGAAGCTCCCCACAGGCTCAAAGCTGCACTCATGCACAGCCAGGGACCAGGGGGCTGAGGGAGGCAGCAGCTGTGTGGGTGCAACTTTCAGCTGCCTTTCAGTGGTGTGGGCACAGACAAAGTCTCCTGCTGCTAATATGCCACTGAATCCCCCCAGCCTGCGTTGGACCAGAACCCAAAGGGTGGGGAGAAGGAGTAGGGGCACAAATGCAGCTGGAAACTGTCTGACCCCAGCACCGCTCCTCACTGCCCAGCCCTGGTAGCACCGTAGTTGCAAGAGTGTAGGCACAAACCAAACCCTCCAAGCCAGATCCAGCCCATGGACCATATGTTGTTAACCCCTGGTCTAGCCAATAAACACTTAATCTGAGCCAGGAGAGAAACTGGTGGTTAAAGGAATGCTCATGAACATGGGAACTACAGACACAATTTTTGGGGGCAGCTGGAGGGGACTCAGGCTGCCGGGGAATTGAATTTTGGTTTGGTAAGAGCTGGCAGGTTGTTCATGGGTGCTGAGCCCTTATTCTAGTTCACTGAGGGCCAATCCATTGGACAGCCATGCCACAAATTAGCCCTGTACCCTCCCTGGGTGCCACTCCAATCACCTTCCCCTGACCAATCTGCTGCTCAGATTTCTGCTCCCTACTCTGTGCTCCCTGCCCAATCTCTTGCTCTGCTTCCTGCCCTGTCTACTGCTGTGCTGCCTGTCCCCTCACTGATCTATCATGTGCCACACACACAGGCTTCCTGTGCCACTTGTGGCCCTTGTGCTGCAGATTGACCACCCCATCCTAGTTGGTGGTGACTGTAGGTGAGCAGTGTACATTCTCTTTCTTCATGCCAGGGTTCCTCAAGCATGTTTAATGGTACACAGGATGGGCTGTTTTGCCACATGCACTCTACTCTGTCATGGCCAGGTTGCCCATGCATGCTGGTCTGCTGCAGTGTGGCGTTTTTGCAGGGAAACAGCAGAGCAACCTTTTGTTGTGATGCAGAAGGAGAAAACAGCGCATAAAAATGACAAGCTGGGACAAGGATAAGCAAGAAAGGCAGGTCAAATATCAGGTCATTCATACTCAACAGTGTCTCTTTGATTTGTGTCCTTTGTCCCGCACTCCTCACTGAAGGCAATTGTGATGTGGCAGCCAGTGGTAGTGACAGGACGCACAGCAAGGCCGTCCGTCTTCTGCTGCAGAGGAGCTAATTCTGCTGAGTGTTGTCAGAGTTGCACGTCAGTCACTTGATTGCTGTATACCATTGGGCAGCTGATAATCCCAAACACTGAATGAATAAATCCACTTGTTGTCAAGTCCCATCAGTGTTGACGGCATAAAACACAGATGCTGCTTAAAGAAACATGCCTTGTAGACAAGCCTAAATGCCATAAAAGAATGCACGTACTGTCTAGCTGTGGCAAGAAGCCCTGCTGGTGTTGAACTCCCTGGAGTTAGACAGCAGGTATGAGTAGGGGCTGCCATGAACTGCATTGATGAACTAAGGACCAGCTATAAACCAAATATCCTCACTTAAGGACATGAAAATTACCCTGTCAGTGCAGGCCTGTTCTCCCCACTTCAGGAACTCTCTCAAAACCCAGGGAGTGGTTCCCACAAACATTCTCATTGTTTCATTTTGGCAGATTTCATCCCCTTTGGATTTCACACTAGCTTTTGAAACTGGAAATTATTTTCTATTCAGATATCAGCCTCGGCTTTTGCTCACTCATTCCTCTATTCACTTGGGAAAAGCTTTATCTTCGCTCATGAAAAAACTGGCCAAACACAGGAAAAAAATATAAATGACTCCGTAAGGGACAAAATAGTATTACTGCAAGATTTCCAGCCCAAGTTCTAGCCCAAACCATCCAAATTGCTTATCTAGCCAGATAAGCATTCAAGTTGAACATCCCAAAACTCTGGGGAAGTTCAGGTCCATACCAAGCCTTCTTGGTTTGTGCCCATCTCCTAGTACTAGCAATTGGTGAGGAAATATTCAGTTAATTACCTTTAAAATAAAGCAGGGTTGACATTAGAGAGATTTCATGTTAAACACCAAACACCCTGGGTAGGGGAAGGCAGGTGGTAGGTCAATGACCTATCATGGCTTTATCTCTCCTCTT